AATTAAAGTCAAGCTTAATGATGTAAGCAATGGTAACCAAAATTAAAATGATAGATTTTACAAAAGAAGAAAAGCTTAACGGGAATAATTATAATATGTGACATAGGAAGATTTAATATCTTCTAAATGAAAAAAAAGATTCTTGAAACTATAATCTATAGCATAAATCCACCTGAGTAATAGAATATGATCCAACATTTGAGGGACTTAGAGGCCTACGAAAGTTGATTCAAAAAAGACTTCAATCCATGCTTAACTATGTGAAGCTGCATGCATTATGATTTTATTAAAGAGTCTGAGAAGTTGTATGTTGTTAAATAATGTGAAATCAATTGAAACTAAAATTTGGTAAAACAACTACAACTAAGCTTTGTGTCTTGAATGTTAAGTTTTAGGCTAAATGTTCAATTAAGAATCTAATGTTTGTGTGATTTTTAATTAAGGGTATAAACTTTAATTTAGTTCAATATAAGATATAATATTTTTAAATTTGTTCAAATAAGACCTTTTGTTACGATTATAGCTTATACATGCATAAAATAATGTGAATCACTGTTTTGCAACATAATGAATATTAAAAATAGCCAAAAACTCTACCTTCTTCAACCTCTCTTATCAAGCAAACTCTGCCTTATCAGAAATCAATATTTTCCTGCATTGATCTTGTCGCTAATGACCATTGGCGGTTTTCGTCCTTCACCAGTAGTATAGCTTCTTTGTGATTGAAACTAGAATCCTTGGTTCAACCCCTTTTTGCATTATTCTTTCTCTAAATCCCCAAATCAAAACTTAACTATAACAAAAAAAATGAAAAGCTTAAGAATCACATAATTTCATTGTTAAAATTTGATGTTGTTCACCGTTCACTATGATGTTGATCGATTAGCATGTCTTCTATTTTCTAACTCTGACTTTAAACTCTAAAATTTTCAAAAAAAAAAAAAAACTAAACCCAAAAAAATCCTTACTGATGAATTCTCGAATCTTGTTGTTGTAGTTGCTTCTATGTATTGAAATCCCTTTGTTCGATCAATTGCTCAATTAAGACTAGTTGCTGATTGATGATTTTGCTAATGAATTTGCTTTGTTGATTGCCTAACAGAAAAAATTTCCTTAGCCTAAAAAGCTCAAAACAATTGCTTTACTACGTATTTTTCTGTCTCTTCAAAGATTCAAAAACTTTGTCCAAATTTCTTGCTTTTCAATTGCCTTTGACTATGAATTGCTATTGTCTAGCCTCCATTGCTTGGTTGTTTGAGGCTTGCTTGATTGTTCGAGATTAATTGTTGTGCTTAATTTTGCTCTTTGCCTCTATTTTGATTAGCAATTACTATTGTGCTCAATTTTTATTTTTTTTATTAGAGTTGATGACTTTAACGAAAAATGTAACAAAAAGTGAACTTAAAAGCACGTGTAAGCCACAGCAACAACTTAGTATTTATTTGAACAAATTCAAAAATTTTATATCTTATATTAAATCAAATTAAAGTTAAAATCTTTAATTGAGCAACCACCTAAACTTTTGATTCCAAATTAAACATTTAACCTAAGTTTCACCAATATGTTATAAAATTTTCACACTCTATGGCAAATCACTTAAGGATGATGTTTGTAATTATAAGAGAGTTAAGAATGATTGGAACTAAGCTTATTGATGACAATAGATTCAATCAATTATAAGGTCCTTTTCTAAAACTTATTGGAGCCAAGTGAAATGGGTGTTAACACATAATAACAATACGAAGACTTTTGATTACATCTTTCGTCATCTTAAGCTTGAGTGGGAGTGCTAATAGGTGACCCATAATATTGCTCACATTAAATAATGCAAGAGAAAGATACTCAAGCATGATAAGGAAAAATGCTTAGCACCAAAATATGGCAATATGGCCAAAGGCTCAACAAGCAAATATGAAAAAAAATGTCAACTACTAAAATTGTGGAATATTGGGTCAATCTGCATGTGATCGCATTAAGCATAAAAAAAATAAAACTCATATCTAGATATATAATTATTTAGTTCACATGTTTCTTATTGCTTATTCTCTCCTTGGATTGTAGATACAAGAGCAACAAAACAGGTAACTGTGAGATAGATCATGATTTGTATATTATCATTGAGTACTTACTGGTAGCCATTAAATTACAAAAATTAATGGAAACCAAGAGAAGGTTTTTTATGTTGGAACTTACCAACTCAAGTTGCATAATGAGTGCACCTTACTTTTTCATGATGTGTTGCATACATTAACAGCTTAAATGTAATTTAGTTCAGTTTTGTTGAAGTTATGTCTTTCTTGTTCTTTTTTAGGGAAATCAGTTGAATCATTTAGGAAACAAGTTTTACAGTCACGGCCCTTTAAACAATTTTTTTTTATATTAGATTTGAAATATAATAGTAGTTAGTTGCATCCTTTTTTGATAACATTTTTTATTCAATTAAATGACATAAAAGATTGTGCCATATTGGGCATTAAACGGTTACTTATTTAGGTTTTTAAAAATATTAGTCTACCTATCTATGAAACTTGCCTTCTAGGTAAAGCTTACAAAAAAATCTTTTGGTAAGGAAAGAAAGGCAACTTAGCCTTTGAATGTGGTTCATCCAAATATTTGTAGATTTATGAAAGTGAAGAAACATCCATGGAGCCTATTATTTCTTTACTTAGATTAAATGATTGTTCATAGTATGTGGCTAAGAATAATGATCAAATCAATTTAATATATGTTTGGTGTATAAATTTATGATAGGATATGATAAGATAATATTCTGATTAACATTAGATTAAATGATATTATTATCTTGTTTTTGATGAATGTAAAGATTATGATAAGATAATTTATTTATTGATTAAAATTATCTTTCCTTAAAATTTATATAATTTAAATAATTATATAATTTTTAAGAGTATAATAGGACATGTAAGTTTAATCCATAAATTAAAAATAATTTTCTTCATTTTGAAAAAATTGAAGCATCGTATATCGAAATAATGATTAATCATCCTTATAATCCAATTATTTTTTTTAAATACAAATCAGATATAACATAAAATTATTATCATTCTATTCTGTCATCATTCTATACATCAAATATGACCTTAAAATATTATACAACAAATAAATAGGTAATTGACAATTTCTAATACTCTTAACAAAATTGGTTTAGTAGAGTGGAGGAATTGTACATATATTTTAGACATGAGGAGATATTTGATAGAAAAATCAATCTCCAGAATTGTTTCGTAAAGATGTTATTTTGATTGTTATTTACATCTTAATATTTATTTCTTCAAAGTTCATTCTTTCAACTCCATATGGATTATGAAACGGTGAAAAACCTTATTTAAAGGCTTAAAACCTTTGTTTTTTTTTTTTTTTTGAGCCACATGAAACCTTGGTTTCAGTTAGATATGTTCACGATACCTTGATTGTTCCAAGGGCTTTGTGCTGTGTGATGATCATCTTGATGTGGATGAATGAACTAGAGTTTTGAGACATGGATTTCCTAGAAAAGGATTTTCTTATTCTTGGTGAAGTTAAAATGGGATCTTGAACTGCAAGAGTTGCAAGAACTTGAAAAACGATTTCTTCAAAGGTCGGAAAGCAAACGGCATTAAATTAATTTTAAAAATTTAGATTAATAATGAAATAAATAATTTTAAATTTGCTAATATTTTATACATATTCACAAATATATAAGTAATTAAAGGGCTATTAAGAAAGGTCACGAAATTAAGAAACATAAACTATAATAAAATATTTTCTTGAGAATATTTTAAAATTAAAAAAAATTATATTTAATATATTGACAATGTATTAATAAATTAAATGTTATCAATTTTAAAATTTTACTGATCTTAAAATAAATACATAAAAATTTAATATTTTTTAAAAAATTTTCATCATTCGCATCGTCTAATTCAATAATAATAGATAAACTAAAAAACAAGACAACCCAAAAATCCCATACGATAAAAAGACGAAAACTGAAAAGCAGAAGCTTCCATTACCTGACCAACAAAAAGAAGAAAACAAGAATAAAAATGAAAAAAAAAAAAAAATCCTCATACTGGGCACAAAAAAGTAAATGAAACTATATTTCAAAAACCAGCTAATCACTCAGACTATCAATCTTCTTTAGATATCAGTCCATATCAAAACTGCAGTTATTTTACAACTCAAAACCAATTAGACAGCATTAAAGGAGATTAAAGCAGATCCATAAAAGATCAAAAGGGTTTAAAGAAAAAGAAAGTAGAGATAAAGAAAAAAAGGCCGACTAAAAATGCAAAAAATATAGCAGATGGAGGGAGCTTTTTCTCTTAATACAGATCACTCCCGCGCCTTTTTGTTTTTTTTCTCGTACTTCTATATAGCCCAATAGCATCTAAATATGGAACAGAGAATCTACAGTTCCTAGCGTTTATTATTTTCGAGATCTGGGATTTTCCAGGAAAAAAAATGTTATGGTGGGATTTCTTGATTCCCGAGAAAATCCCTTGACCGAAGTATTTTCGAGGGTGTTCCTTTTATACACCTGTAGTTACATGCTTCACTTTGCTTCTGTTTTTTCCCCGAATTTTGCACGTTTTGGTTTAGTCAAGAAAGCAATAAATGTATTGATCTTTTTCATTGATGTTTGGATTACTAGAAACTTTTTTTTTTTGAAATATTTGAAACTGTAGAAGCAAATTCCAATTAAGCTGCTTCGTTTTCATGCAAAAACATGAAACCCGTCTCTCAAAATCCTCCAAAAATCTTAGCTAATATTTCTCTTTGTCAGAGTTATCTCTTTAAGCTTGTCTCAATTACTCTGTAAACCCCCAACCTGCAATTTTTTTTTTTTTTTGTATCCTTCCAGTTCTTACCACCCATTTTGTCAAGCCATAATTTTATTTTGTTTTCATGGTTTTGCTATAAATAATCCCTATTGCTTCTTCAGTTGCTCACATTTCACCTAGTAGGTCCCTGTTCCTTGATCCTCTGTTATTGTATAGAAGTTTTCGTTGAGCAAGATGGCAACCTTGTTGAGTGTTTTCTCAGTGAGGAACCTGCTGGTTTTGTCACTGGCTCTGAATGTGAGTTTAATTTTGAGGGTCATGCTCTTGCATGATTCTCAAAATGGGAGCTTTAATGGCTTCTTCTTTGAGGAGCAGAATGGACCACAGGAAGAGGCGCATGCTAGCAAGAGAAGACGTCTCTCCTCTTCTGTTTCCTCTTCATCATCATCATCTTCTTCTCTTACAATGGCTCAAGGTGACGAAGATAGAGTTATCAACCTTGATCAGTTAAGTGTTTTTCTTTTTCAATTAATTTGTCTTTCTGGAAACATTCTCCCCATGCCTGTATGTTTGACATTTCTAGCACTGCAATATTAACATTTTTACTGCCGCTTTAGCTAAGCTTAATTCTTAAGAGATGGATAAAAGGGTCATTTCATATGAAGAGGAAGGCAGGTAACCGGTGATTTTGCATCCCAAAAGAGTCAATCATGGCTGTTAGTGTGATTTCAATTCAACATAAATGCGCACATAAAAGAATTTTTTAAAGCGTTTAGTAGTAGTATTTTATTATTGTGCTGATCTATTCAGTTCGTGCAATTGGGGGTGGGGTGGTTTAAATTTTCCTTGAGGTAAATTTTTTGGCCACAGTAGACAAAGACAGCTCCTTTGATGAGTTTGTTGAGATTTTCAATGGAGCATATTGAGAGCTGAGCTGCCTTTTTCTGGGTAATTGATGACTGTTTTTGTCATCTCTGTTCCCAAATTGAATGAGAGGGAGAGATCAAGCCTCAACAAAATGCAATATGGGTGGTGGTGCCATCATTCTTCCCCATTACACCTTGTGGACCTCTCAAATTGCACAAATCAAATGGGACAGTTCAGCTTTCAGTTTGCAGCAAGTGAGATTCCCCCACGGTGCAAAATAGCACAAGGCATTGTAGGCTTGGAAGTAGAAATAGAATAGTAGATGCATATCTGTTTTTTGTGGGGCCATCACCGTCTGAGTGTCCTTGGGCACGCTGCATGCAGCTCCCTTTCCGGCCTTTGGTAAGATCTAAAGGGCTAATGCTTGCTCTTGGACTTTTGACTAAATATTTTTAGAACTTTTAGAAGCACCTTATGCTGTAATCAGACTTTTTTAAGCACCTCTTTCTTGGACTAAATGCAATTAGTGGGGTTGTCTGGATCTACCACCTTGGCCATTGAGGTGGGCCCTATCTTAGATGTGTGCCAAAAATGAAGTCATCTCTCGGTCTTTGCATTTAATCACATAGCAGAACACAGTACCCTATGTCCATCTGATGTAAGCCATGCATACACATGTAATCATTATCTGCTGATGAGAGGGACCCGCCACTTCCCGCCTACGCACACTAGCTCCTGCCCCTTTCATTTCTGGATTTCCAAATGGCAGGTGATGTGGGATTTCACTACACATACCAGTATTTTAACATCATCCTGTACTTTTAACAGTTTTACCCTGTCTGTATTGTATTTGTATTCTTGTTGGAATGCTTTGTTACCAATTAGCAGAATATCTATAAATATTTTGAAACACATGAAATGAGTGTAACGGATGCATTGACAGGTTTTCTAGCTTGTGTAAACTTGATGTCTTGTTGTTTTACTTTTAATAATAATGGTCCAACATTGTGATTGAAATTCAAAAGTTTTTTATTTTATTATTATTTTTCTAAATGCAGTGGCGATCCGACAATGTACGAAAGCTATTGGCAAAAGATGGGAGACGAGACCACCATTCTTATTCCTGGATGGCAGTTCATGAGCTACTTTTCAGATGCCACAAACCTTTGCTGGTTCTTAGAGCCTGAATTTGCAAAGCAAATTGTCCGATTACATAAAGTAGTGGGCAATGCAGTCACGGAGAACCGGTATATTGTAGTTGGAACGGGTTCAACGCAACTCTTCCAAGCTGCCCTGTATGCACTTTCTCCCACAACCGAGGCAGACCCCATTAGTGTGGTTTCAGCAGCCCCTTATTATTCTGTAAGTGTTATAATTAAACTTGGATTTTCATTTAGTTTCAACTTCAATACTTTAATCATCTTGAGTTTTATCCCCAAGATATGAAACATGTATTCTTAAAGCATTCTGCAAATTAGCTCTATGTTGGTTTTTAATCAATCAATAAATGCTTCCTTTATTGAAATTTCTTGACATAGAAGTTATTGTTTAGTAGCAATGTTGGTCCGTTATGCAATGCAGAAAAATTTATACATAATTGATTAGTTTAATAGTTCTGTCCCCTGCTTATCAATAACTTGCATTCAGTATGGAAGGGTGAGAACTTTCATTTCAAGATTTTGCCTTCCTGTCTTCCGGCATCACTTTCCTTTCCAAACAATTTTTGTTCAAGTCAATTGCTCATCATACCCTATGAGATTTGAATTTATTAGTGGGGATTATACTCTTTGATTTTTTTGTTCTATTTGATTTTGAATTTAGTTTGGGATTTTACCATTTGCCAATTTTATTTTGATAAATGGCAATTTTATTTATCCAAAAAACAGGACTAAGAACCTGCTACCAAAAAAACTGTACAAGCTATCATCAACAATACATCAAGATGAAAAAAAAAAAAAGCTATGCTTTATGTACAGGCAAAGAATTACAAATACTCCTGCTTTGACACAAACTGGCATTCACAGTAGTAGTGTTAACTTCAATGAATAACTTATGCAATGTGTATCTGCTGGCTGAGATATTTTAACTTGACATCAGTTTTGTTGATTACTTGCAGTCCTACCCTGTGATTACTGACTGCCTCAAGTCCAGACTTTACGAATGGGCAGGCGATGCCCGGAGCTTCAGCAAAAATGGCCCTTACATAGAAATCGTTACCTCCCCCAACAATCCTGATGGATATGCAAGGCACTCTGTTGTTAACAGTAGAGACGGGACACTGATTCATGATCTTGCCTATTATTGGCCGCAATATACACCAATATCCTCTCCGGCCAACTATGATCTGATGCTTTTCACTGTCTCAAAGAGCACCGGTCATGCTGGGATGCGCATTGGGTAAGTTGATCATATTGATTATCAATGAAAATTCTTTGGACATATCTGGTTAAGTCATTTCCTTTGCAAGTAATGTTAGTCAATGGGGCTGGAACTTTTTCATTGTTGTGTGACCATAAAGGGTGTAAGCATGTCCTTGAACAAATTGATCCTTTGATGGAATTTACATGAGAAGTAGGATTGCAATTGAAATGTTTTATCATTTTAGTTTATATTGGACCTATTTCAATATTATTACAAATGACAAGAATTAATTAGAACACATCTGTTAGATATTAAGTCAAATTCTAATTGGGAATCAGTTTGAATTCTAGTAAAACTATATTAGTTAGAGAATTACTTGATAATTAAGTTTACTTAAAGATAAATATTTAATGGATAAGAATTTTTAGTAAATAGGAATTATTGGTGATCTAATGGAGATTTATAAATATGGAGTGAGTATTAACTTTTACTATTATGCGAGAGAGTTATAATCATTGTGTGATCTCTATATGCGAGATAGGTTTGTAGGGATATGAAAAAGAGTTTCTTCTAGAAAACACCAATTGTATGGGATAAAAGATATTCCATAGTTATACACTAGGGAGCATGGAAACTATGATTGTTTCAAGGGCTCGAGGTTAATGATTGTTTATGGTGTTTTAACTCTTTGTAATCTCTACATTTATAGTGAATTTTCTCTCTTATCTGTGAATGTAGGCAAATGGCTGAACCATGCTAAATATTGCCTCTTGTTTATGATTTATTTCATATTGATCTTGTTGTGGAATACGTTCCGCTTAAAAAATCCCAATAACATCTCCAATTACAAAATTTTTTAAACCTGAAAAAAGAATGAATGAAATGTACTACAACGAAGCAAGTTTGACCCAACAATGGTTACTCATTATTAAGAGGATGGAGCCCTATGGTTGAAATCCCTTCCCTCCTTAGACTAACTCAAATGTACCAAAAAAAAAAGAGGAAAATGAAATGTACTACATTCAATGGTTATGTTATCTAATTTTGCCAATTCTATATCTTATAGATGGGCTCTTGTTAAAGATGAAGATGTTGCAAGAAAGATGACAAAATACATAGAGCTCAACACCATTGGTGTCTCGAAGGATTCACAGCTCAGAGCAGCCGTAGTTTTGAAAGTTATATCCAACAGCTGTGAAAGACCAAATGAAGTTGATTCCTTCTTCGAGTTCAGCTACCACCATATGGCCAAGAGGTGGAAGCAATTGAGACAGGCAGTGCACCAGAGTGGCTTATTTAGTGTGCCTGACTTTCCCCCCCAGCTTTGCAAGTTTCTCAATAGGGTCTTTGAGCCTCAACCTGGTAAGAGAAAGGTTAAAGATGATTAAGTGCATCAATTTCATAGATCAGAGTTTTCTTTTCTATACACCTTGAGACTAAAGTTACCTGAATTTCCTCCTTTGCAGCTTTCGCATGGCTAAAATGTGAAGGAGAGATTGAAGACTGCGAAAGCTTCCTTCGAAGCAAAAGGATCTTGACGAGGGGTGGCAAGCACTTTGGGGTTAGCCCTAAGTATGTTCGGATAAGCATGTTGGATCGAGACAAAAACTATGATACCTTTATAGAAAGGATGTCTATGATCCGAGCATGACATTCGAGACACCTCTGTAAGCAAAACCGGGGGGAAAGGGGAGTTAGAATTCTTTTGTAAATTGGCCAACAAATGAAGCAATAGATTATTTTTCTCCATTTGATCTATTAGAAAAAGCTCTCTACTTGTTTGTATGCTCTAAAGAGTTAATCAGAAAATGGAGGCTTAAATGGGGCTTAATCTTCTTAATGGTGCCAGGAATGCTTGCATGTTTAAATGGCCAATAGATGCATGCAATCCTTTTAAACCTGTTTAGGGATCCCAAGGAACCTGAACTTAGGCTTAAATATTGAGTCCCATTTACTTAAAAAAAATCCACTCCTTCGAAGGAAATGGGTGATTAAAGTTGTTGAATTTATGTGTTGAAATGAACCAAAATACAAGCAGTGAAATCTAGTTGTGTGAAGCCATTCTTCCGGATGAATGCAGAAGTCAGAGCAAGGCAACATAGTTATCTATTTATTAGATCTCCTTATTGCAAGTAAATTAAATTGACGGGGGCTTTAACTGTTAGCATAGCCTGCTTCCTTATTTTATGATTAAAGTAAATCTAACATAAAAATGTAACGGTAATTGTATTTAATTACCAGAAGCAAATTATTTTTAACTAGTAATATTTGGTTTTTTGGTAATTGTACAGTTTTCCTTATGTTCTTGGTGATTTAGCATATAAGTCTTAAATTCAGAAAAGACCATGTTTTAATATCAATTTTGATCCTTCACTCTTGATGATTAAAAAGGTAATAGACAGACCAAATAAATTACTTCATTAAAGAAGGGGAAAAACCAGGTTATTCTCATGCATTTAACATTAACAAATAAAAGGAACAGATAAATGAAATTAATTACCTGATGTACGCACCAAAATGGCCAGAGTTCCTCGGATGATGAACAGTGAAAAGATGGTATGGGTCTGCAGATGGCTAGATCCTGAGCAAGTGCACCATTTCCTTGCTTTTTCTACATTGTGCCTGATCAATCCATCCATGAACGTTGTTCCAGGAAGCGTCAAGATGAATATAAATGCACCCTCTTTGGTCAGAAGTAACTCAAACCTGGGAGGTCTAAGAAGTGACTAAAAAGGGTACTTAATTACACTCAACTTGCTTCTGCCAACAACCATGATGAAGCCTTTCAACCACAGTGTAACCAATAATGGTTGGGAGGAAAACGGTTCTTGCACTGTCATTAGCTTTTCCACGGATCACCATTCACCTAATGCTGTCCACCGTTCCAAGGAACGCTCTGGTGGCCATGTTGCTTAGTCTTCTTTTTCGATATTGGCTCAAATGCCTGCACAAAATGATTAAAAAAAAAAGTAAGAACTAGGGATGCTATAATCACCAAGAACATGAGAAGGAAAACTGCAGATGCCAACAGCTGCGCATGCAAGTGTAAAACTCTTAATTTCATAGATCAAAGTTCAAATTTTCATAACGGTGACACTCCTAGACCAATGTAAATTATATACAAAAAAAGAAGAACTAGAGATGCTACAAGATGGACTCCCGGAGCAAATATAACTAGGTAGAGTCATTTAGTAAGAGTGTTTGCTTATGAATATAGACCTTGGATGCCAAGAAAGGAGAAGATCTCCATGGATGATGGTTGGAAAGGGCTAAGAGAATTTCTGAACATTCGATCTTTTCATTTGCAATAATTTCTTTGAGATAAGGTGATGAAAGGTAATGTAGTTCTAAATCAGGATCTACACTATCTTCCATCTTTGACAAACAGATTTCTAAGCTTTGTATGATTTAATTAGGAGGTTTTCGTCAAATTTATAGGCGATTAAGTGATATTATCGAGGTAAGCGTAGCAAAGGAATTGAAACGTTATCAAATTCTAATTACTACATTTTCACGTGGAATTCCAAGTTTTAATAGTACATAAAATAAAATTACATAAAAGTTAGAAAAGCAATTTTTAGATTTTACAAACAAAATTAAGTATATTTAAAAAATAAAAAAATTTAATTAAAAAACAATACATGTATCACTCTTAATTTTATTTGTGAAATTAAAAATTTACATTCACGGTGTATTAAATACTAATTCTAAAAGTTAAATCTTCTATTTTAGTTGGTACTTTTTTTATTATTTTGTTTTTAGTTTTGTTTTTATTTTTTATTTTTAATAAAAATATAATAATAAATAACAAAAGTATCAATCGGATTCATCATATCACTTGATGTTAAAAGAGGTTAAGAAATCTATGATTTATTGGTAAATGTTTGAATTTTTTATTTAATTGATTAAAATTTAAATTTTGATAAACCTCAAATATATATATATAAAAAAGGTAAGTACTACATACACATATGTAATTTTTTTTTCTTTTTCAAGTTTTATTTTTCTTCAATTTAATCTTTATATTGTCATTTTCAATTTAATCTTTATGTTATCATTTGTGTATTAAATCTATGTAATTGTTATGTGTATATAATTTTTTTATGTAAAAAATATTTCAAAATCTTAATCGATAAGGCTTTAGAATTCAATAAAATATTAATGTATTAAACAAGAAGACAAAACAACTTTACATGATATTTAAAACAGTAACCCTACTCTAATTTGTGAGGTCCGTGCGATGCTCAAGTTAAATATATATATATATATATATATATATATATATATATATCACATGAAAATTAGAGATACTCAAATTAAAAAAACAGTTTGATATAAAGGTATTTTGAATAAGGATCAGCGGCCGGTTGATTTGGTTAGTTTAATCTAAAAAAATTAATAATTAAATTAATCAATTTTTATTCTATCAATAACTGAACTAATCAATAAAATTTTAAATAATCGATTTAATCGAATTGACCAAAAATCGATTCAGTTCGATTAATTTGGTTAAATAACTGAATTTTTCATCATTTTTTCTTTTATTTTGAATAATTATTTAGTTACAAATTCAATTCAATAAAACTCAAATTCACATACTATTCAAACTAAATTACTAAAGAATTTAATAATTTTTACAATATTTTACAAGAAAAAAGACAAATAAATACTCATCTAAACTTGTTTAATCAAAATAAATTAAATAATAAGTATTAAGTATTGATCTAACATATATCAAATAACAAACAAAGCCATCAATACATAATAATTGTCATTTCAACACAAATAAGTTTTTAAGGTCAATAAGCTTACTTAAAAAAGCAAATCAAGCAAATATAGTTCTCGTAACTTTGGTGCAAAACATAAAAGACATTGTAAGTTGGCAAATTAAGCTAACAACTCATACAAAACATAAAATAAGCTAAGGACACTTTGAGTTGGCAAATGGATATAAAAATTCATAAAAAACATAAAACAAGCTAATTAAAAGGACATTCCAAGTTCTAAAAGCATTCTTCATATAGCTTTGGTGCACATCCTTCATTGTTTCCTAATATGTTAAAGAGATCAAAACCTTAATTAGTTGTTAAAGAATAAAATAAATATTTTCTAAATGCAAATATTCATAGAATAAAATAAATATTCTAAATACAAATCATCTTCAGGTTGAAATGAATCAAGATTAAAAGATCTATGTAACTAATCTTGGGCACAAATAAGGGTTTGCACAATTTTAAGAGTTAAAAAACTCTTATATGCATCAAGCACATGACCACCAGTGTTAAAAGCAGATTCGAAAGCAACTGTGGATATAGGAATCGTAAATATATCATGAGTTAGATGGGAAAGGATAGAAAACTTATGGCTATTGAGTTTTCACCAAGTTAAAACATTAAAGTCATCACTATCATCATCATCAGGCTCTTCACTCAAATATTTAGTCAATTCTGATTTATGTTTGCCTTTGCCATGTTCAATCCTATACCTCTTGTACTTGGACTTAAAGCTTTGCTTTTTTTTTTGTCATTCCATTTTTACTTTCAGCATCGATGGGCTGTGACATTTGGCTCACTTGACTACTTTCACCAACCTGCTTAAACTAAAGTTTTAACATTTTTTTTGTATTCAAACAAGTCTTTTATTGCTTGTTGTACTTTTTTAATCATCAATGAAACTTCATTAGAGGAATATATTTTCATGAAGCAATATTCAATAAAAGAAAGCTTTTTTGAAGGATCAAAAAGAGAAACGATATAAACTAACATATTCATATTCTTTATATTTTCTCAATACTTATCATATTTATCATTCATTCTCTTTGTCATTACATTCAACTCAACATCAGGATTTAATTACCATTCTCACAAAGTGGAATAAACATCACATATATCATCAAGAAAAGTATTAGATATGACGTAAAAAGTATCTGAAACTTTCACGGTGAGATCATAAAATTGTTGCAAGAAAAGGTAAAACTTCATAACAATTGTCCAATCATTTTGATCGGGCACCTATCTCTTGTCAAAAGCTCACCTCTGTAATAAGGATCAATATCATCAAATGCATCAAATGCCCTTTCAAACTTTTAAGCTGCATTCAACATCAAATAAGTAAAATTTCATCTAGTACTAACATCCAAACACAATAAACTTTTACTCTGAATATGTTCATTCATAATACATTCTTTAAACTTAGTTAACCTAGAAGATGATTGTTTCACATATTTTATTACCCCTTTAACATGAGCAGTTGTTTCAGTCATTTCCTTCTAATATGTGCAATGCATTTCAAATGAAGATATTTGCTTCCCAAAATACTAGTTTTAGCATTGTTAATTTCTTCCTCAAATATATAATTGCAACATCATTAGAACTAGCATTATCAACTGTAACAGTAAAAATCTTATCAATTTTCCAATCATGCAAACATTTCTCAATCACCTTACCAATAGCTTCACCTTTGTGAGTAGAAATGGGACAAAAATTTAATAACTTTTTGTTTAGTTTCTAATTTTTGTTTATGAAATGAGCCATAAGACACATATAATTGATCATTTATAATGAGATCTATATGTAAGTGGTAAGAGATACTCTTGTAGAAGATGATTTCATAAATTACTTCAAATGAGTTTTTTCATCAACATAAAGTTGATAGCAATCCCTAGCAACTGTCCATCGTGATGGTACATAAAATTTAGGACATGCAACTAACATACAATACCTAAATATTTTGATTCCACAAATCTAAATGGTAACTCATTTAGAATGATCATTTTAGCTACACCTTTTCTAACAGCATCTTGATTAAATTTTCATGTGCCTCAAGATTCTGCTCCTTTTGACGGCAGCACCAATTCTGTTTAATTACCATAATCCTCACTAAAATGAGAAAATATTTTACAAGGATTTATGTGATTCTTTAAAGCAGTGGTTCCATTCTTTTTAGGATCAACAAAAAAATTCTCTATCACAATAATTATAGCTAGCTTTATAATTATCTTCCTCATTAACAAATTTAATAATGTGGTCCCATACCTCTAACCATGGCTTAGATGCTCATCTCAT